TTCTTGGACAATAGGTTGTTGGATAGTTCTACAGTTCCATGTCTCCTATCGTCTCTAGTCTGTGGATCATCTGATTTCCAATTAGGGGTTGAAAGTCTGCTGTCAACTGTTGGGATGACTTTCAGTAACAAATCTGTGAACTATTATATAGAATCAGTGACTTCAAACTAGTGTTGAACAAACTCGGACTATGTTCCTTGTGATGATATGATGCTGTAGATCACCACACTGTTTCCACAGCAATGAATACCTGCCGCTATATTCTTTAAACTGCCTTCACAATCTTGATGTGAACATCTGATACTGAACTAATTAAAATTCTCTTAGACATATGGTTTTCGTATGAAAAAAAGAAACTTCATCTCTTTAGCTGTTTTTTTCCAGAAATTAAATAAAATCGTCTTTGCAGCTATCAGATAAAGTCCTCACAGATGGCATATTTCAAAAAACGTAGTCCCAGGACGATTGGTTTTATAATTAGAAAATAATCGGTTAGATAAAACTTAACACTATACATTTACTAAAATCTGCATAGTATACATAGTGTAGTAGAACTTGGCGCTCACGTCATGGAGCGCATTTCCGACAGGCTGTTTCAGACTTTAATCAACAGGTGCCTTCCCTGGCTTCATACTCAAGACCAGATGGCAAGCCAGAAAGAATTAGCGACAAGTAACTCTAGGAAAGGACCAGTGAAGAACATGTTTCTCAAGAAATATGCCGAAGGAAATGGAGTCGGATGGGACGCTCTCGGAGGAGACCATCGGGTGACATCGTGTGCAATACAGGCCAGCCCATGAGTGGGTTACCAATGAGTCCGAGAATGACATAGAGGAGATCGTTTGGGGAGGAGACGAAAGTCTGTGTTGAATTTAAGGGCCATCTGACAATGACTGCAGAAGCCATATATCCCAGTCGAAACCTGAACGAATAATAATACAATGTACAACAATGATGCGTCATTTCAAACTACTTCACTACATCATACAGACAATCGAGAGATTTTTTATTGAAAACAATTGTTAAAAGGCAGATACCTTTCGAATAGAACATATACAGTGCTATTGTATTTACAAGCTGAAGTTTCTAGCCTCAAATCCAACCTTTCCCCATCGAATTTATTACTGTTATTAAACTAATTGAGGTTTAAGAGTCCGTCTGCCGAGAATCGAACTTGGATTAAGTACATGACTGGTGAGCATTCAATAGCTGAACCAACGATACACCATACAAATATGGTCATTACAAACTTGTAATCAACTAACAATATTACTTCTAATTACGAAGTGTAAGATGTTAATACTGTTATGGATTAATCCCTTAATAAACCAATAAAAGTCATATAATTTTCCCCATGATGTGACAGCGGAATTCGGTCAGTATGTTAGAATATAGTTTCATATCAGATAAGTTGATTTGATTTCATACACAGTGATCTGTAGACAGCAATAATAACTGCTTGACGTTTCGAGAATAATTTACCGTTTATAAACATATCATCAATGTTGAATAGGTAGTAATTGAATGTTACTACTTCACATAATAACTCACTGAGTCAAGTAAAGTTAAGTTTCAGTCAATAAATGCCTCTCAAAGTTCATCTGATAGAATGCTAAATCAATAATTTGAAGTTTATCGATTTGATCACTGCCAGTCACAGTTATGTAATCATGAAGATATTATTAGTCAAAGACTAACTGTGACATCAGTAAATTCAAATTATCAACATTTCCCACCCCCCCTCCCAAAAAAAATTCGTATTTCCCAATGAATAAGCAAAACAAAGTGATACTCCTTTTGCAGACGTTTTGCCATTTAAAAAATTGAATTTTTTGTAGACTACTGCTTCAATGAAGCTATCAGCACTGTATAGCTAGCATAAAGTCAATTAAAACAACACTCCATATTAGTTTTTTTCATTAGATGTATCACACAGTGAATGGATGACAAGGTTTCGAACAAAATTTATTACTTACTGTTCATAATCATATCACGCATACATAATCACACGACTTCTAAACTTGAGTTAAAAAAACAAAACTGTGTGATACATCTAATAAACAAACTAATATGGCATTGCTTACTACCATAGTGCCCAAGTTTTACACATATATATATAATAATAAAACAACACCGTTTTGATTTCTATTCACTGAATTCCCTTCCAAGTGACTTAAATAGTCAACAGACACTGGTCTTATAACCTGAAGTTCCGGGTTCCAATCCATCGTAAGATCATAGGTGCACACTGGTGAAGAGTTCGGAAGTGGGACGAAACAGTCATTTATTGTTCCTTCTTTTTCAAGAGTCTTTAGCTGGTGATGGTTTGAGAAGAAATTTATATGGAAATATAGAATTATTTTTCATATTAGTGAACATCATTCACCCAGTGTCCCACTATTTTTTTGTTGATATCATGGAGTCCATATTGCCTGAATACACGAATAACCGGGGGTAAAATAGAATTTAACCTGTATCCACCATCCCTCCTCACCATTTCCAATGAAGAAATAAGGTCAGTCCAAATATGATGAGTGCCAAAAAGTACTAAGTCGAGGTCAAGCAAGGCTTCCTGCCGATGGCCTCCAGTCACCGAGCAACAACAACTCTCAATTCTAATCACGTTACTACATGCCATTTTGTATAATTCATACATTTATCAAGTTCAACAACCTAAACACGTTTCCTATCCTTATTAATTCATTCACGTGTCAAGGTAGAATTACCTCATATGGGATGAGCTATAATTGAGTTGCATACTACATACATATAAGCTGAGATTTTGTAAATTCTGATTTATTATTACTCTGATAAAACTGTTACCAATATTAAACAACAAAACGTCAGTAAATAACAGAAATATCGTGTGTATATTTTCATCTCATTCATTGAGAAATACAAAAAGTTTTTGGGAATATTGATCAACAGAAATTTGTTTAAATCTATGATATAGAATCATTGTTCAAGGTTATTTATGGCAGTAATTTTGTTTCATTTGAGATGAACTACTGTCTCTTCGAATATGAAGTGATTTTTTTTACTGTATTATATGAGATTAGAAGAAATTATTATTTTGATAACAACTACGTTAGCTATGCTTCGAGCGGTCGATGATCTTATAAGCCTAGAGAATTCAGATGGTACCTTGTATGCTGTGGTCAAAGTCGAATATTCATTCATCTTGTCCTGCATATCCATCAGGTATGCTAGTGTAGTAATTTTGATAGGTCTTACGATTTATTTTCCTAACAACAGTGAGCTTGCTTATGATTTTTATCAGAGCTAAAACAGTTGCCACGAAATTTTTTCAGACGAATCTATGTTTAGGAGAATAGTTATTCGATTTGGTTCTTCTTCCGTAAAGTAAATGCGTCGACTACAACAAATTCAATTGAGAACTCTGCACTGAAACTAATAATTGACTAGTAACTAACCTTTTTATGTACTCTTCAGTTTTTTATAGAAATCTACCGGCCTGCTGTATACTGTGTTTACCTGAGAATTTCATTGCCAGCGTGGTTGATTACTTTTCTGATTAACATAAGTTTAGATGTCGTAGAGAAAGAACAAGTCGAAAAGTCAAGGCAGGATATACATCACTCTGAAGTCAATTTGGAAATATTCTGCACTCAGTCCACATAAAGAAAAAGATTCAGGTTTTCAACACCAGTGTTAAGTTATTCAGCTCTTCTATATGAACTTCACGCTATCGTCACGTGAAGCGTTTCCAACAGCCAGCTAACTTCACTGGCTCCATACTGAAAATTAAACGGCTTGCAGAAAAAAACTGGCGACAAGCAACCAAGAACCTGTTGCTCAACAGACATCTTGAATAAAAAGGAGTTGGCTTGGACACACACTGAAAAGACCGCTGGTTTAGTGTCGGGCATCAGGCCATCTCTGTAGAGGAACAGGAATTGGAAACAACGAGTCGCATCCGAGGATGGATGATATGGAGGAGATCGTAAGAGGAAGAGATGAAATTTTATAGTCGGTGGTGAGGCCAATTGTAGAGGACTGCAGGAAACAGGACGAAATGGAGACGTTCTGTTGAAGTCTTATGTCCCACTCGGAATCCAAAGGAATGATAATAAAGTAATAAAGTTCTATGGTTACTTGCCTGTCTAGTAATTTGAACATCTTAAGTTAAGCCTCTAGTAGAGTATTGGACTCGCAGCACTGAACACTTCCAAACAAAAACGAAGTATCTGTTCATTACTATCTTGTCTTGAACATTTCTTTGAATTCTGCCTCTTTCTGCTTTAAAAAAACCCACCTTGATGACACCATCAAGAAACTTTCAGCTTTTTAGTACTTAAGGGTCTTTAATTCTCAAAATATTCAATCCCACTCAATCAGCATGCTAAGTTGGAAATATAAGTATAACTGGCTGTTTGAATGGAGGATTTCATCATGAGCTGACATCAGTTAGAGAACCACTGGAAAATCTAGGAGTACTGGACAGCTGTTTCGTTAGCCCAGTTTGGGACTCTTGAACAGTACACACCCACCCACCGGCATTCGAACCCAGGACCTTCTGGTTACAAGGCGAGCTAGCTTGTAGACCATTGAGCCACTGGGAGCCGATCCAATAACCAGTCCATGAATTTTAACTTCTGCCAATTCATAACATAGCGCGACTATTCCTCAATGTCTTCTTTGATGAGTTACTGCCTCATCTTCAATCTGTGTAGCAATTTTTGGAGCTGAACTAACTCTGATTTGTATTTGTGCTGCACATGCTTCAGCTGGACGCCACCCAACTTATTAGATGAGAAGGTACCTTCTCTTCATTGCTGTTGGCCTCATGCCCAACCTTCCCTCTTTTCCGGGAGAGGTCTAGGAAGTATGTCAGTTAGGGATTGAACCCCAGACCACTTACGTGTTTGGCGGGAATTCCACTACTGAAATACCGACCCAGGTACATTATGAAAAATATCAGTAGTGGTAAGAAAAAAGTAGTTTTAACAATTCATAACAGACCGATTTGTCATACTTACTCGTCTGATTTAATATATCCAATAATTTAATACATTGTGATTATTTAACATAATTAGAAATCACTTTTCAGTTTCATATTGCATAGTTATCTATTCATTGTTAAGTAAGTGTATTCAGCTTTTATATTCTTAATAATAATAATGATAGTGTAATAAAAGGTCACTATGATAGTCCTGATTCTCCGAGACGTGCGTGCTTCAGTTGCAACTATTAAAAAGGCATACACTATGTGTAAAGCACCTTTTCAAATGTACAATTTCCACATCTTGTGAACTCTTCGTTTTCATTGGCTAAAAATGCACCATAATTTTCAAGCAATTTGATTGGTTAAATAGACGAGCAATACTTAATGAAACTGCTTTTTGATTGGTCATGTGATAGATAGATAAATAGATAGATGAATAAATTAGTTTTTAGTAAACAGGTTTCCTTCGAATCACATTAAGTTGTATCTTTTTTTCCATTTATTAGCCGAGAATTACTTAGAATAGTTCCGGCCAAACAGAATCTCTAAATCATACAGAAAAGTCTTTTTATACATGACAATGAATACTGAAGTGTGGATGCAGCTATAGCTCAGTGGTTTATCATCTTGACTACCAATCAGTAGGTCAAATATCTGAATCCCGTACCGTGTACCGAGGTTCGGATAGCCAGACAGCATCACAAAATGTAAAGTGTGATTAGGCATATTTTCACGGTATATTGATGGACAGTGAGGCTAGAAACAAAGAAATTAGACTGTCATTGTTCTGCGTAAATGAAAGATGCAGTTACCTGTGACTTCGTGATTTTATAGGATCTCCGATAAATCTTAACTATAAATTAAAGTGTTATTATTACCTTTAAATAATCTGCTGTTCATAAATTGACTAGACGAACTTACATCAAGACCATCAGGCAAATTAACCTCTTTTATTATGGGTAAGTGGAATCGGTGAGAAACTGCTGTGGATATGCTGACGCCATTGTTACAAAAGGTTTGGAGGGAAGGAAAGGCACCTACACACTGACTGGAAGAAAAGTGACCCTTCCAAACTACCAAAAAAGGGTGACTTACGCTTGCCTCTGTAAGAACTGGCGTGGGATAGTGTCGACGCCGACGCCAAGTAAAATACTAAGTCGCGTCATCATGTAGAGACTAAAAGCTACATTGGATGCAAAACTCTGCCACCCACCGGAACAAGGTAGATTCAGGGAAGGCAAATCATGTGCTCATTGAATTGCGACTCTACTCATCGTCATCACAGAACAAAGCATAGAATGGCAATCAAGCCTGTACCTGAATTCCATCGACTGACTTGAAAAGGTGTTCAGCAGACAGCATAGACGGAAAAGCCATTAGGAAACTGCTTCAACAGTACGGCGTGCAATGCCCAAGTCTTTGTCAACCTTATTCAACAGCTGGCTATACGACAATCCCACGCGTCAGGTGATCCACGACAGAAAACTCAGTGAAGCCTTTGAAGTGGGGATAGGAATAAGATGAAATAGACCGCCTGGCAATAATCTTATAATAATGAAGCCCTACTCCAGGAAATATGTGAATAAATATTACAGAAATTTTCAGCGTATTTAATAATAATAATTATTATTTACTTTATTCCAAAAATAGTGCTTGTGATACAGAATGGAATTTTCAGCACTAATCACACTATTGTATCCAATTTCCTCAAATTATAAATAAAATTTGGGAATCATCGGCAGTACGCACCCACTGGGATTCGAACCCAGGACCTTCCGGTTACAAAGCAAGCTCGTATATCATCCAGCCCTAAATCACGAATTGGTAGGAGTTAGAATTCATGAGCCATTGAATCGGGTCCCAGTGGGTGCGTACTGCCGATGATTCCCAAGCTAGGATAAAACAGCAGCTATCCAGTACTCCCTGGTTTTCAATGGTTCTCTAACTGATATCAATCCGTGATCAACTCGTAAAAACATAACAAACCCTTACAAACCAAACTATAGAAAATAAAATTAATCACACAGAAAATTTTCCACATTTACAATAGAGGTAATATCAAAAACATTCAGCATATATAATGGAAATAATAATGATGATAACAGCTAAGGTGATAATAATAATACAAGTGAAAATTGCCGTGGGCTTGTTTCACACAATAATGTCAATGTGGTATACAAATCCTAACATGCTTAAAAATATTGAATATAATGTTCTCCTTACATGATATGGTGAGGGGAAAAATAAAGATTACAGCAGTCATAGAGATAAGTTGGTGCTTGCAATTATGAGAGTAAAACAAAGAAGCAACAGGACCATAAATATAATACAAATAATAAAAGTAAAACTTGAAGGTATATAAGAATGGATGGAGGAAATTATTTATTTACTAGATGAAAAAAGGTTAGTTAGTTCTTGCCTGACGCTATTTTCATCACATAAAATACGTACCAAGTATTGTATCATAGAATTTTTATACTTAGACGTGCGAGCATACAGTTTTCTTCTTTATCTACCTGAGGAGATACAAAGTGAAAACTGAGGGTAAAGTGGATGCTCCAAGTCAGACAAAATCCTTCTAGCAAATTTATTGCACGAAGTCAAGTGCCTATTGACAACGACGTTAACTTTGTGCTCCACTGGGACACCACTCACCCTATTGACCGTCTTCAGCATTCTACGAATTGTGACACAGTCCTTTTTTTAAGCAAACCAGTAAAGAATAAAGGTGAACAATAAAGCAGAATAGGTAGGATGCAAGAGTTTATGAACTGTAAGAGGAGGAGGAGGAGGTTGAGTTATACCCGAGTGCTTCCAAAATGTTTCTTCTTCATACAGGATTTACACATAAAGTAATAATCTTAAGGATATCATGTGATGTAGTGTTATTGCTTATGAAAAGAGGACCAATTCCGTACACATTTTCTTCATTTCTTTCAAGAATTGCACAGTTTTTAGCTAAAAGCTAATTAAATATACGCACGAGTTCATATAGTGGTCATCTGATACTTAATATAGGATAAAAATGACAAGAAATGCAGGAGAGTTTAGAAATTTTTTCGACGGACGGAAATTCTGGTAGCCCACTGATTTAAGCAGGCCACCTCTTTCACTTAGTGATTATCTCCAGTGATACTCCTAACTGTATTGGACTGGATTATGCGACATACTTTATTTTATTTTTGATTACAGCTTGATTCCACACTGTATTTTATGGTACAGGTATGGAATTTTCAGCATGTGATATCGGTAGCCCAAATTTTGCAGGCCGAACATAGATATCAGGTGTGCGTCGGCAGGGGATCAAACCTCGGACCATGTGCATGGTCAGCGAGAGTCCTAACCACTGTACCACCTTTTGTGGAGAGTGAGAAGACAGGAATATATTGGACCGACAAGACGACTCAACAGGGTTTGGACTTCTCGAATGATTTATGTCTAATGTAACATAAATTCGAAAACTTACAGTCAGAAACCAATAGACTGTCAGGAGAGATCGGCAACAAAGACAGGACTTCATGCGAACATAGAGAAAATGCAGGTGATGAAGATAAACAACCGGCGAACAGCAACAACAAAACCAGCGCCAATCGCCATCAACGGGAGAAGTTTGAAAGAGGTTACTTCCTTCACTTACCTAAGGTGGCATGATTCCAAAAACAGGTGAACACCATGGGCAAGGATGTCAAAACCAGAATAGGAAAGGCAAGATAGATCTTAATCACTTTGAAACCAGTTTAGAAACCTGTTGTACTTAGTCAGTATAAACAACCAAATTCCGATTTTCAACACCAATGTCAAATCAGTCAGTGTTTCTATAAGGATCAGAGATTTAACAGTTACATCAACAGTTACCTTCCCTGGTTCCATGGAAAAGAAAATGGAGAGGGATAGGACACATGCTGAGGAGATCGTTCAGTGACATTAAGCTTCAAACCAGGCCTCTAATGGACTGCGAACGTCATACTATGAGTTGGCTGTAAATTTGAAGTTGACATGGAGCAGAATGTGTGGAGAAGAGATGAGAGACTATGAACAATCATATTGCCAGCTTAAAAGGACCATGGGTATGTCCTGTTGAAGCCCAATGTTTCACTCGGAACGTCAGGGAACAAAAATAATAAGTGAAATCGATATGGTAATCTGCAGCACACAGTATAAGGGAAAAGATTCTGATCTCCAACGCTAATGTCACGTCAGCGTTACCATATCCTTCAGAGACTTGACGCGTCATCAAAATAATTTCTGACAGTCTAAAGACTTGTGTCAACACCGTCCTTCTCTGTCATGTTACTGAAGATTAGAAAATCGATCAGAAAGGATAAGCAACACATAGATATGGCGGTGAACCAATCAAGAATCTGTCAGCCAACAGATATGTCGAAGGAAATATAAATGACCTGAACATACTACCGGTGAGAGACTACTGAGTAACACTATGCGCCATGCACTTGAGTGCAACTTGATTGTCAAACGACGAGTTGGGTGTGGGTCTAAGGGTGAAATGGAGATCACATAAGGAAGAATTAAAAGCCATGTAAGTGTACTACAAAAAATTAGATGAAATGAAGGTTCCGCCAGGAATTCATGGCTACAATAATAAAATTATTATCATTATTATGAGTGAGTGAGTATTTGAGTCAGTCGATCAATCACTGATGATAATCACCTAATTTAAGTAAAGACTCAGAAAAATTATTAGATGAACACTATGCAGAAAACAGACATCAGTCTTGAAAATAGTTGAAGACAATGAGTGAACATTCAAACATGATACAGTCACGAGTCGTTAGACTTCACTTGTGATAATCAAATACGCTCAAGTTCCCAGACAATTTTGATTAATGGAATTCATAAAGTTAAGCGTAGGAACAATAACTTACTGACAACCTCTGAGTTGCTTCGCAGTTAGCAGAAGCTTGAAATCATGCATCGTAGGTTTGTTAATGATGTAATATATAAGTTTGAGCTGGTCTGTTACCACTACTAATGTGAGTTTGAACTACTGGAAAGTGGTAATTAATCGCCTGTAAGTTCTGATTGAATTTTAAGCTAATATCGGTTCAACACATTATTCACGCTTTCAAAAATAAGACTTTCTCTTAATGTTCTTATCGTTTGAAAAAGCATACGATTTCGATTCTTCTTTAGTCTGATATTTTGAATTATTGCATTCAGATTCGATTTATGATTTCCCCCTTTTTTGTCTTATATTTCTCAGTGAGAGTATTACTACTCACTGATGCATATATC